CACCGCCATATACCTGGAATATTGCTGAGTGCAGCATAAAAACTAAACTCACTCACTTAATATTTTTTGTTTTCATGAGAACAAAATGGGTCAATATAGAAATGGTGTGTGTATACAGCTAGCCACTTTGCTCATACAAGACACAGTATTCAACCAATGTTTAAAACCTCCATGTAGTAGGCAAGGACATAACACTACTTTGTTCTGATTTTGAAGCATGTGACCCTTCATTTAGCTCCACAAAGTTACACATTTTAAACCTAACATCCTCTTTGGTTTATAAGTTAATGTTTTTAAGTCACAGAAAATATATATTGAAATCCTTAGGTTAGAAGTTATTAAACAATTAAAGGTCACAAATATGGTTAAAAATGAGTACCATGTACCATCAAGCCAAGCATACAGAAGTACTTCAGCAGTGACAGTAACAGATGGTTGGGTTAAACATCACTTTGACAGTATTTCAGTTATATCATTCTGTGCTGACATGTGCGATGGAGCCCGTTTTTACTCAGGTCAAAGATTTTGGTAAAAGCCACAAGCACAGGTAAGATGCTGACAGACTCAAAGATCATGATCACAGTGATTTCTATAATTCAAACCCTTAACCAGTGCATCCTGTCAGAACACACATTGAACTGCTGCACTAAGGACAGAATAAAGTTCACATGATCACACAAGTCTATTTGAATCGGGCTATTAGCATCAGCAATACAATTCACTTTCCTTACCATGGAATTAAAAAGAGTACTCAAAGTTTTACTGTCAAGGTAAAGGCTTTAGGTGGATTTATCTGTCAAAAGAATTTTACTGAATAAGGAGTCTGTTATGTTATATTTGAGTTCACATGACATGCCATAATTTCAAAATTTCCTGAATTACATTTTCAACCATTAGTAAACCAAACAATTGAAGTTAAGTAATAAGTACTCTTTAACCCAAAGGATCCATACACTTTTCATTTCATAAAGATGGGTCTGAGCTATTAATACCTCAAAAATATGTTTCTTAAGGATTTGAAATGTCACTCAAAAGATATTCTTTTTGAAAATATTGGAGAAATGTTTATCATTGAAAAGATATGTGCTTAATTTAGGAAACTATGATGGCAACTTCAGAGCTTAGGGCACTATCTTTGTAAATTGGAATCGCATGATAAATTGTTAGTTTGAGATGAATGCATTAGACCTGGTCAGTCCACATGGGCAGCATTCAGTTGAACCAGAATATGCCAAATGAATCTTTATTGCACATTGATTCATGTTTCAGCAAGAATCATTTACTTAGTTTGTGTGCCTAAGGGAAAAACATGGATTTACACACTAATTGTAAACACAAACTGACCTTTTAAAGCAATAAACTCAATCCCTTTTGCTGTATTGTATATTTCTTAAGAAATAAATGAAAAAGAATGTGTAATTCTGTTATTTCTTTTATATATCCACCAATGATAAAATATAAGAGAGTCCAAAGAACCACTTTAGTGAATATTTCCCTTGAATGCCACAGAGACAGGATTCTGGAAGGAACTTAATGTTCTCTAATACTTCACAATGTGTGAAGCCCATCTCTGGTGTTCAACACCATGACATTGCTGGAATTTTGCTAAAGGCAATCACTCCAATATTTACAACATGAATAACCATAATTATTCAAAATTGAAATCTTGGCCATGCAAGAACAATAGAAATATGCAAGAATGTTTTTACAGATTTTCATAACACAAAATGCATATGCAATATGTCAACATCGACACACATGGCACATATGTGCCCAAATGAAATTTCAGTATGATAGTCAAGTTCAGAATTGGATCAGAATATCAGCTTTAGAAATCCAGTAAACTAGAGTAAAACTACAGGCATGATGAAGACAGGAGATCACAATGTCACAAAAGTTTGAACACATACCTCACTACCCAAAGTCTAACATATATAAAGGTACAACTACCGACTGTGTTGAGATTTTAACAATGTAAGCTATAAGTCAGCAACAACCCTAACGGCAGAATGAAGGCAGTGACATCAAGTCTCTTGAACTTTTAGCTTTAAGTGAGCAACAGCATACTGGAAGTGAGAAACAACTAAATGGCGGCTTGTTGTCCATGACATGAGCTCATTTAAACTTTCAAATTCAAATGAACAACAGCATATTGCTTGTATGTGAATATTATATACATTGATACAATATTCTAGGCAGGATACACAACACAGTATCAACACGAAGACAACTCAAGCTCTTACTTCTACAAACATGTGCATTATGCAACGATATCCCACTGGCATAAATTAACTTGATCCCTCCCTTTGTCCAGTGTAGGTAAACTATTGCTATTTGAAACCTTGGTCAAGTCATCATAATGATTATGCAATAGATTATGTTTGTTCATGTGTGAGGTGAAAGTTTGTTGTTTTCAAAATATGTTTAAATATATGTATGTAGTGATGTGCCTGATGTGGGCAAGACTGGGTGTACTAGCCCTAACTAATGACGATTATATAGCGCTACACCACAGAGATAGCATGCACAGTTTAACATGGATATCCCTTACAAATACACTGGCTCAAAGCACATCAGTCCCTTTTTCTCCCTTAACGCAAAGCACCCAACAGGGTGACAAGAAATACAATTGTTTAACATGTTTAGGTATGATGCAGTCAGGCATCGGACCATCACCCCTCTGCTCATTAGGCAGATGCTCTATCCACTGGACCATGAAGGTCTTCAGATACAAAGAGCTCGCACTAAAATCTTACACACAATCCTAAAGGACTTCCAGTCACATTCAGTGTCTATCCTTGATACTAAAAATATGTTCAGCATTCTATCACAGTGAAATCTGTCATAAATTGTTTTCATACTTTAAATGATTAAAGTGAAAAAGCTACAGTGCCCTCCTAGTTGTTATGGGATCAGTGAAAATGTGATGATCACTGGCAGATAACATGATTAAAATAAAACAGACCCACAGTATATTACTGGACTGTGGTTTGTACAATATATCTAGGCTGGGTCACATTTACCTTCCTTTACATATATTCTGGAAACATTGAACATGAAAAAAAGGTTTAAGGCGATCTAAAACGCATGTCTTGATATATATTATATTATGAGTACTTTTCTTGTTAATTCAGTCTCAATTCAGTTTCATAAAAATTTACAAGGAGAAAGTATTTTGCAGCATAACTCTTTTAACAGAAAACATATGGACTAGTGCTGCATCATCTGATATTCTCGATAGATGCAAGGGAGATGATCAAACATGACTGGAAAACCACTTAGGGTCACATACTTAAGAATATCATAATCTGAGGACAGCTTAAGAAGCCATATACCTTATTACAAATTCATATGTGTATAGATACACAAGACAGTTTGATGTGATAAATTGTACCTTGTAGTAATAAGTCAAAGCCTAACTATTTACACCATAAATGATTTATGTCACCCATGAAAGTATTTAGATAATAGAATTTTATTCCGCTATTCAATATTGTATGTGGTAATGTTTATGTTACTTCATCACACCTGAGCTATTTGGCTCTGTCACAGTTTGCATTAGGCAAAATAAAAAATATGTTGTGGTTCCGATTACACCTCTTAGGTAGGAATTCTTCTTTTTTTATACATTTATTTAAGAAGAAAAGTATGAACTAATAACACATATATCAATGTTTAATTGTTTATTCAAACAAGCTTGCGGCCATCATGTCGACTTTCTCTATCAGAATGACCGATGTCCATTGGTGCCTGGCAAAAACAATGGTATCTGAAAGCTTATCTTATTCATACCTCTTAAAAAAAAACTATGGTGGGCACCAGAATTCAAGGGTCGGTCGAGTAATCGGAACCACAACATTTTTTTTTTAGGCCTTAGATCCATAACAAAAAGAAATTTTGTTATATCCTAAACTGAATAAATTAAGTTAGGCATCATGAAGATTTGAGGAATATTTTTCATGGTTCATGTGCTCAATTGTCCACACAAAAAAGCAGTATCTCCCCAAAATATTAGTGATACCATTTTTGTTCAGTACATGACAAACACTTACATTACCTCTGAATTCCTTTGAACACTATAGGTAAATCTGCATGCAAGACAAAACAATCACTAAAATGTAGAAGTACACACTGGACATTGGATCTTCAACCTAAATGAATCCCCATGATTTACCTTGGTTTTCACAATGATCACTGTCTGTCAAAACATGGTTAACTACTATCTGTTATATATCACAACAGACAATGTTTCAAGAATGCACTAAAATTGTCTTCTCTTAACCTAAGACAACGCCGAAGCCAGAAAATAACACATTAACACAAACTAGACACATTTGCACGTAAGTAGTTGCAGTCATTCAGCTCATTTATTAAGTTCTTAAACAGACGTCAAATATGTAGAACCAACGTGAAATGATTGATCATTTCTGTGATGCACTGTGATATTGAAGCCAATGAGACTCAGCAAGGTAGATTTCATTCTGTGACATACGAATCAGTACACAAATCAATCTGATTATCAGCATAGTATATTGGTCTGTAAAGTTGTTCTCATGATATTCCTCTTAAAGCTATTTTCTTGTTTATTCTGTCTGATTATGTATTGGTGTAATACTAATATAACAAAGACTGACATAAAATCATGCACGAGACTTGCAAAGAAAATTGGATCTGTCTTTCTTATGTTTCATACATTTCAAAATACATTCATATAATACTACTCTGAAAGAATATATTGTGATATGCTTCATGCTTTGAAAACAAACCCAACATATTCAAATTTATGCTATATAATCATTTCAATACATTTTTCTTGACAAAATCTGATGAGATATAAGGAACTATCATAATATTACCATTCTTACACTGCTAATGCAAAAAAAAATGGTTAGTTATGTTCTGTATCTTCGAAGAATAAAGTACATATAAATGACTAAACACTGATACTGAATGAATGCATAGCATGTCGTACACTTGTTAAAGCAAACTTAGAATCTTACCTTCAAGCAGTTCCTTATTCAAAGGTAATAATCCTCATCCAATGTGCAGTAAATCCTTCTGAAGCAGAACGGCTGAAGCAAGGAAGAGAGAGGGAGAACGAACCCCATCGCTGCCACCAAACTACTAATCTGAAAGTCAGAAGGAGTGCAGCTATCAGTGGCGGGGTATTCATCAGTCATATGATGCCATGATATTTACCATCAATAAAGCCTCAGCCTAGGCTGGTGAGAGACGAGGCTGGGACAGTGCGGAGCAGGTTTCCTACCAGGAGGATTTCAGCTTTCCTCAACATCTGCTTGCATGGAAAGGGGAATCAATTATCCCACCTGGTAAGGGGTGGGTACCATGCTGGGCAGGGTTAAACAGCGTACTGCTCGTGGTCATTACAACTCCGATAATCAGAGAAACCATAAGGTGGCTATATGGTCATGGCAAGTGTAAAACGTTCAAGTTTGAGCATATCATAGGGTTCTATGAAATATGAACTAATTAGATTTCCCTGGTATGATGTCCAGGCTATTTCTACCAGATGACCCACCTGATGCATGGATGAACACATGTAAGCAAGCGATAATCGTGAGCTATTGAGACATAGCAGGTATGATCAGGAGAAGGTATGCATCCTGGCATAGTGTTTACAGTAGATGACTGATTCTTCCAGATTATGATTCCCGATAATTTTAAAATCTTACATTTGTAGAATAATTACAGAAACTAATACAATACCGCTAGGTAGGGGCCTTTTACTGGATATTATTTTGATATTACTACACTTGTTCATCATTTCTGTAATACTAAAGGACATCACCATTCTTCTACACTGGAGCACAGAAAGCAGTTTCAGCTGTCTATGACAGTATGTGTGTACACTGTATGATAAATATTTTCACCATTAATTACAGATAATGTGTATGTATTTTCTAAAGAAACAGATCAAATGTTTTTCAATTGTAAGCTTAAGAAAATTGTATGAACATACAACATATTCATATAATACTTTAGCATATTTGTTTCTCAAAGCTGTAAAACAAATCTGTCATAACACTTAACACTGAAAATTAAATGTCGTACTTGCAGAGGTCATGTATTTGATATCATCCATCTTGGGAAATGTGTTGTTACTGCCAGGATAAGTGTATAATGACTGTTTGTTTGAAGTATTACCATGTTATTCTTACCCCCTGAGTCCCGTATCATCGTTAAATCTTTAGTAAACAGATGTATTAGACACAGCATACATCTGAGATATACAATATTGTTGGCGATTGGCAAAGACAGAGAGGGATTATAGGTTTCTACCTTTTCCTCTTCTTATCTAGGAAAAATTATCAAATTTTTAAGAGTGGTGTTTCATTCAGGTTCTCTGATATAAATTAGTTCTATCACAAGAAAATCACTCCAAATTCCACTCCCAGAGAACACAAAGAACCTCTCATCTCTCATTCTTACCTCATCTCTAACTGTGATTACACAAGCTTACACAGTCCTATTCACAATACAGTGCCAGTAATGGACCAATTTAATTGAGACCAAAAACTAATTGTGAAAACATTCCTAACAATTTTTCAGATTAAAAGATTCTTAATGCAAACCACAATGATTTTACTGACCATATTTTTAAACATTAACTCTCTTACTCACACTCATTGACAAATGTTATTCACTGACGTCATCACATTTAAATTTCAGATGTCACTAGAATGTTAAAAAAGTAATTCTGAGTTCACTAAAAAGTGATGACAAGTTTGATATTTTTATTTTCACTTCAGTATGTGTGTAGTACATGACAGTAGAGCTCTATTCTCCTAACAAAAAATCAAATTAAATTACTGTCAAAACTGTCATTTTGTTAATACATCATTGGAGAAATAGTGAAGAACAAACTGTATGCCTCTTCAGAGAAGTTGCGTTTAAGTTCACTTTGTTATACACTCAGATTATTTTTTTTTATGTGGAGTAAGTGTCTTCACAACACATTCATAATTACAAACACACTTCTGTAAGTTATTTGTGATAGCTGAAAGGTCATATAATGATCAGTTCATGTTATTTATGAGTAAATGATGGTGTGGGTATGTGTGATGTGATGTGTGGGCATGTTTGATGATGGTGGGTATGTGTGATGTGTGATCATGTTTGATGATGGTAGGTATTGTGATGTGATCATGTTTGATGATGGTAGGTATGTGTGATGTGATGTGTTGGCATGTTTGATGATGGTGGGTATGTGTGATGTGATGTGTGGGCATGTTTGATGATGGTGGGTATGGGTGATGTGATGTGTTGGCATGTTTGATGATGATGGGTATGTGTGATGTGATGTGTGATCATGTTTGATGATGGTAGGTATGTGTGATGTCTGGGCATGTTTGATGATGGTAGGTATGTGTGATGTCTGGGCATGTTTGATGATGGTAGGTATGTGTGATGTCGATGTGATCATGTTTGATGATGGTAGGTATGTGTGATGTGACGTGTGATCATGTTTGATGATGGTAGGTATGTGTGATGTGACGTGTGATCATGTTTGATGATGGTAGGTATGTGTGATGTGTGATCATGTTTGATGATGGTAGGTATGTGTGATGTCACGAGTGATCATGTTTGATGATGGTAGGTATGTGTGATGTCTGGGCATGTTTGATGATGGCAGGTATGTGTGATGTCACGTGTGATCATGTTTGATGATGGTAGGTATTTGTGATGTGTGGGCATGTTTGATGATGGTAGGTATGTGTGATGTGTGATTATGTTTGATGATGGTAGGTATGTGTGATGTCTGGGCATGTTTGATGATGGTAGGTATGTGTGATGTCACGTGTGATCATGTTTGATGATGGTAGGTATGTGTGATGTCTGGATGCATGTTTGATGATGGTAGGTATGTGTGATGTCACGTGTGATCATGTTTGATGATGGTAGGTATGTGTGATGTCTGGGCATGTTTGATGATGGTAGGTATGTGTGATGTCACGATATGTTTGATGATGGTAGGTATGTGTGATGTCTGGGCATGTTTGATGATGGTAGGTATGTGTGATGTCATGTGTGATCATGTTTGATGATGGTAGGTATTTGTGATGTGTGATCATGTTTGATGATGGTAGGTATGTGTGATGTCACGTGTGATCATGTTTGATGATGGTAGGTATTTGTGATGTGTGATCATGTTTGATGATGTAGGTATGGTATGTTTGATGATGGTAGGTATTGATGATGGTGTTATGTGATGATGATAGGTGTGTCTGGGCATGTGATCATGTTTGATGATGGTAGGTATGTGTGATGTGTCGTGTGATCATGTTTGATGATGGTAGGTATTTGTCATGTCTGGGCATGTTTGATGATGGTAGGTATGTGTGATGTGACGTGTGATCATGTTTGATGATGGTAGGTATGTGTGATGTGTGTGCATGGTTGATAATGGTAGGTATGTGTGATGTGTGTGCATGTTTGATAATGGTAGGCATTTGTGATGTGTGATCTTGCAAAGTAATGAAATGGAATAGTGTACTGAATCAATAATCAGATTAATTACAAGGACCTCTTATTCCTTTACACAAATTTTGCACAATTCTATTACAGTGGGTCCTTAAGGATGCAATATATATTTCCTTTTGTGTCCATTCTATACATTTGTGCTTACTGGATACACACTTTTGCATCACGTGGTGATGAGAATGTGTGATGGTGCAGGGTATGGATTAGTAATGTAGGAGGTGTCACTGGGTTGTGATGGTGAAGGGTATGGATTAGTAATGTAGGAGGTGTCACTGGGTTGTGATGGTAAAGGGTTAATGAAGGGCATGCATGTGTGATGGTGCAGGGTATGGATTGGTAATGTAGGAGGTGTCACTGGGTTGTGATGCTGAAGGGTTAATGAAGGACATGCATGTGTGATGGTGCAGGGTATGGATTGGTAATGTAGGAGGTGTCACTGGGTTGTGATGGTGAAGGGTTAATGAAGGGCATGCATGTGTGATGGTGCAGGGTATGGATTGGTAATGTAGGAGGTGTCACTGGGTTGTGATGGTGAAGGGTTAATGAAGGGCATGCATGTGCGATGGTGCAGGGTATGGATTAGTAATGTAGGAGGTGTCACTGGGTTGTGATGGTGAAGGGTTAATGAAGGGCATGCATGTGTGATGGTGCAGGGTATGGATTAGTAATGTAGGAGGTGTCACTGGGTTGTGATGGTGAAGGGTTAATGAAGGGCATGCATGTGTGATGGTGCAGGGTATATATGCTGATGATAATTATAACTGTCTGTGATAGTGTGGGGTATGTCATGGTAATATAGTTTATGGGATGTTTGGGTATTATGATGGTGTTGGTATCTGTGATAGTGTGTGTGTGTGTGTGGGGGGGATGTCATGGTAATATAGTATGTGTGATATTTGGATATTATGATGGTGTCGGGTATCTCTGATAGTTTCAGGTATGTATGATGGTGTTCGGTATGTGAATGCTGCAACCACTAGGCTCCCCCCCCCCCCTTTCCCCGGTTAAACGTTTAAGGATATGTGAGCTAAAGTTGCCAATCTGAATTAGGACAGGATTTAACTCCAAATAACAATTGCTGTAATGAACAATATTTTCCTGATGAGTCAACACCAATATCATTCCAACAAAAAACACTCCTGCACTTAAGTTTTCAAACATACTAATTAATGCAGTTCATAAAATTGTAGCAATTAGGGTATAATTGTGATTGCTAGTTTCCTTCCTTAATCAATTCCATTTCATCTGGCAGTATGGACACTGCACGTGTTAAATGACATGCATGGCTTCCTCGTCACTAAAGGCATAAGTGACCAATACGTGATGGGGAGAAACTCAGGATTGGCTTGTTTTGCTTGCATTATTTCTTTTATCTTGAATGAAAGGGCAATAACCTTAACCAGCACTAGAGATGGATTTCATGGGGTTAAAGTGGGATTCTATTGTCAAAGCGGTGATGCGCAAAGTTTGAATTACCTGCTATGATGAGCGTGTGGAGCCTGAATCATCCAAGAATGATCCTTAGATAATTGGAATACTTTTTATAATTTTTTCCTAAATGTTCGGAAAGGTGGCATCATTCATACAGGTCATACAAAAAGTGCAGACAAAAATGGAAATGTTTCAA